GGGGTGGGGGCAGGCGAAGAGCATGGGAGCTTCCCTGTTGAACAACCTGAAGAAAATTAAATACAAGGTATTAGATTTAAAAGAAGCTTTAAATTTCTGTCCTAATGTGGAAAAGGGTAAGAATTTTAATAGTTTAAAATATGAGAGTTAACACCCACGTTGCATGCATTCCACACATTAAAATTTTGTTTTATATAATTTCTAAATGTTTGGCATTTGTTTAAATAAAATGAAGGTATTAGTTTAGTTTTTATAGCTATCAAACTTAGAGTCGATAAATTGTTTGTATAATTTGTAAGCTTAATTTTTATTACTTTATTGGTGTTAGGATAACAGATATGTATTGTTAGTATATCTCTTCTAATCATTTGAACTTAAATGCTGCTCTTGGGAGTATATATTCAAATGTGCATTAATGTTTTGAATACTTACCCTGGAAGAGATAAATTGGGCAAGTATTTTGTGCTCTGTGTATTTTTTTACTGCATTGGGCATTGAATAGTAATTTGCGTTAAGATACGCTTCAAGGCTTTTTGTGACCATGTTTCCCTTTGTAGCAATAAAATGTTTTTTACAAAATCTACCTGGATTAGCAATTCTACATGAAACAGTTGAGCACCTAGATGAAAAAATCAGGATTTGCCTTAATGCATGAGTTCAGCTTACAAGTATTTTAAGATGATTGAGAAGACTTGAATTATAGAAAAAATTTACCTCAATCATATTTTAAGATGTATTAAATATTTTTTAACCTGTTTCAAATACAGGTCAACCTATTACTGACCTGCTTATACTTGTTTTAATTCATTTTATTTCTTGGTGCCTGTGTCAAATCTTGAAATCTTTTTGAAAATACATTTGAATACAAATCATTTTAATAGTTGTGTTAGTTATTTTATTATGTCAGTTTTTGGCTGAAGAAGAAAACTCACTTAAAAAAAAATTATTTCTATCTTGAATATTTCTTTTCTCCTTTTACACTTTATAAGCCTTATATTCTTACATACCCTAAAAGAAAAAGTGATGTTGGTAGATCTGTTTTCAAATGACCAATTTATGTCACTGAAAAGCAGTGCTGTCTCTTTGAATCTTTACTCTGCCTCTTCATAGTGGCTCTCTTTCAGTGAAATTAGCTTCTCAAAAATTTGAGGCACCAAATGGATCAATATATAGGTATATTAAGTAATTTTTAAGGCATTAAATGGATGATTGTATGGGCATTTGTAGAATTTCACAAATAATTTTTCATACAGTAAAGCTTTTAAAGAGATTAAAAAAAAAATTCAGGACAGTATTGGGTTTGTTGTGGGTTAGGGTTAGAGTTAGGTTTGCTTATCTTGCAGCTGGGAAAATACAATGGGCATTTGTATTCATTATAGGGATTTGGAGCCAAATAAGGTTAGTGAAGACTGGAAGAATTTGGAGCCTATGTAGGAGTCTATATTTACTTTAAAAGACTTTAGAAAGAAAACCTTTTTGCTCAGTAGTTCATATTTCAAGGCTGTTAGGACTTGATCAACCCTCTTGTTTCTCGTTTAAAAGAAAAATTTGTGGAAGGGCTAAGGTAAAAGAATAGATCTCTTTGGATTAGAATTAGTGGGTTCTATTGTGACTAAGTAGGATGTTTTTAAAGAAACTTTTGGAAAGAATCCTGCAGAACAACTTCTAAGTAAATATTTCAGAAGGAGAGAGAGGAAAGAACATCTAAGTAGTAATTTTTGTGGTAAACATGCAAAATCCTTTATTCAGACCAGCTTATTTACATAGTATTAAAGTGCATTTTATTATTGTGCTTAATGCAGAAATTATCCTATTGGATAATTTGTAGATAGGCAGTTTAGTTTGCAGGCAGATTAATTTTTGTGATCCTTCATGTTTATATTTTCAATACTTTTGTGATAGGGATTTATATGATATCTTTAATATATATATATTTTTCAGAGAGAAAGGGAGAAAGGGATATAGAGAGAGAAACATCAATGATGAGAGAGAGTCATTGATCGGCTGCCTCCTGCATGTCCCCCACTGGGGATTGAGCCTGCAACCCGGGCATGTGCCCTGACCCGGAATCAAACCATGATCTCCTGGATCCTAGGTTGATGCTCAACCGCTGAGCCACACTGCCCGGGCCCCCAGGTAGTTCTGATGGTTGTGGTCAGTGATTGGAGAACATTTGTAGGGCTCTAAAACAAATTTCTAGTGCCTACAACTCTCCCATATCAAAGCCAATACATTCAGAATTTTATTACTGTACCTTTTTAAATGAGAAAAAAACCCACATGTAATAATCTTGACAGATGCTGGAAAAACACTTTCTAAAATTTAACACATTCCAGATTTAAATTTTGTCAGTCTAGGAATAGAAACCTTGCTTAGCTAAGGATGTCTACCCAAAACCTTCAGCAAGTGTCCACATTCAAATAGGAAGCAAGCCTGTTAGCTATACAATAGTCATGTACCAAAAGAAATAGAAATACTAGGGAGAGACAATACAGTCATTTCAGGCAGTGTGATTGTGGAGGCAGTACATCCCAGAGAATCAATCGAAAACCTAGCAATAATAACAATTCAACACATACAAGTCTGTAGCTTTCTGTAGACTATTATCAGCTGATTGGAAATGTGATTTAAAAATTCCCATTTGTAATAAAAATCTGAACTGTATACTACCTGGGAATGAATGGGGAAAGCACAGATCCCTATGAGAGAAAACATTTTTATGAAGGGTATAAAACATCTGAATGAATAGATGGAATATTCTGTGTTCCTGTTTGTAAAAACGCAGTTTGTCCAGACATCAGTTACTTTCAAATTAATTTATAAATTAATGACAATTCCAGTGGGATTTTGTTAGAATAAGTGTTGGCTGGTGAGAACAAGTTAAAAATAACAGTGACTCACACAAGATTGAAGTGTCTTTCATATAAAAATTCAGGTGGATGATGTAGGGCTGGTGGTGCCCTTCAGGTATCAACAACTGATGCTCCCATCTTCAAAACCTGATCTCCAGGGGTCCTGTCCCCGGCAGTAGACAGGAAGAGGGTAACAAAGTCACTCCACTTGAAATACAGGTCCCCGAAATTGCACCTATGTTTGTATGTTAATCCCTTGCTTAAATTAAAACAGCCCCACGAACACGCCTGCCAAGACGGCTGGGAACTGTATTTATTCTATATGTCTGTGTTTCTAGCTAAAAAGCAGGGGTTCTATTAAAGGAAGGGAAAGGGACGGTAGGGTACTATTAACAGTACATGGCATTCAAGCTGCTTCATAAATTCATATGCAAAGTAACCAAGAAAAACTAAAAAGAGCAATGAGGGAAATTTGTGTTTCTTACTAGAAACAAAACTACAATAATGTATCAAAGAAACATAGATCAATGAACCAGATTAAAGAAACAGACTCAGAATATGTAGATATATGGTATATGATAAAGATACAGTTTTGAATCGTGGGTAAAAGAAAGTAAAAAAGAAGGATCTTTTATCCTTTGGCACAGCATGGAGGGAACTAGAAAGCATTATGCTAAGTGAAATAAGCCGGCCAGAGACAGACAAATACCACATGATCTCACATGTGGAATATAATAAAATAAACTGATGAACAAAATGGATCCAGAAACATGGAAGCATGGAACAGACTGAGGGATCTCAGAGGGAAGGTGGGGAGTGGGGAGAGATTAATCAAAGAACTTACATGTTTATAAGCATAACCCATGAAAACAGACATTGGTGTGGGGAAGGCCTGGGGTGGGATGGGTGCGGGGTGGAGGGGATCAATGGGGGTAAAAAGGGGACATCTGTAATATTTTCAACAATAAACTTAAAAAAGCCTGTGAATGATTTGGAGACAGTAGGATAGCCACACTGGGGGTACATGCCTATGTCACATCATACACAAAAATAAATTTCAAGTGGATGAAAGAACACTTAAAAATCAAACTACGTAAGTGCTAATATATGTGGGACAATCTTAATTTTAGGGTGCTGGTTTTTCTAAGCAAGATAAAAATCCCATAAGTCAGACATACAGAAAAATAACAAGTTTGGAACATGAAGCCACTGCAGGGTGAAAGACCCTGAACAAAGCTGAGAGCAGAGTAACAGGAGGATTTGCCGTATATAGATAGGAGAAATCAATAGCTTTAGCATATCAATTATTACATTGATAAATATTCAAAGATTTATAATAACCACTTTTGGTTAGAGAAACAGATTCCACCAGATGGTGAATGGCTGAATAAATTGTTTCATCTGATTTGGAGAGCAATTTGGAAGTAACTAGCAAAATTTAAAATGCACATACAATTGATCCCAACTATAAACAGCTATTCATTTGCCTGAAATCACAAATCCCTGAAATACACATCAATACAAAGATACCTTCTTTCATCTAATCTAAAATGTATTGAGGCTAATGCTTTCTTACTATTACCAGAAAGCGTCAAAAAAGACTTTTACACAATACCACCTGGCCAACAGCAATAGTAA